TTTTTTTTTATTTCTAACTAATGCTGATTTCGAACACACTTGAATGCATTATAATTAAAAAGAGATAATTTTATTGTTGTAGTTAATTTTTATTTATTTATTAATCTATTAAAAAAAATTGCGTTGCAATCTTTTTGGAAAATTTTATAAACGTTGTTGAACAGCCGATCCAATTGTTTGAGTTTGCGACTGCTGATGTCCAACTTCGTAGCCTTGTAATTTTGAACCCGATTCAGAAGACAAGAGAACGCCTGTATCGAGCATTTTGGAGAAATTTGCTTTCGCGGACCACTTTTTTGATTGAACTAATCCGCATTTGCGTTACATGGAGAGGAGGATCACGAAAGCCTCCCGCGGTTAGTCTGACGGCAAGGGTAACCAATGATCCGTCAAAGAGGATATTTTACGTCAGCACCGTGGTAGGTGCAAGCCGGATACGGAAATCGTGTCGAGCAGTCATCGCTGGGAATCGAACCCGGCTCACCTCGTTGGAAGGTGAATGCTCTATCCCCTGAGCCACCGCGGCTCTTTTTGCAATATTGCCAAAAGGCTTAAATACTTCAAACAACGCTTTTATTTCGCATCGCATAAAAAAAGAGATTATAAATATTTCAGGAAGGGTGCCAGTGCGAGATTTGCCATAGGCGCTTCTTTCCATAGATACGCCTCTGCTTCCAGGTTTTTACCCAAAATTTCCCTGACGATTCTAGGTATTTCCAAAATAAAAAAAAACTTCCCTGTTGATTCCAAGTATTCAAGTTTATCCAGGTGGGTAGTCACTATGAGAATTTAGTGCAATAAATTGTTTGATTTCATTACAAAAATGCAGAGATGTTTACTTAAAATAGTTTAAAAAAATTTAATTGGTTACACACAAATAATGAAACATGATAATTGTAAATTATACTATCATAACGATTGAAAAACAAATCAATGTTCAAGACATTTTTAAGATTAGAGGGTTTTGAATAAAAGAATGATGAAACAAACTAACAAAATATATATATATATATATATTTCTTACCTATTAATACTCCAGCAATACAGAAGGCATAGTGAAAAACATCCAAAAATGATGGTTCAACTTTTTTGTATTTGTACAATAAATCAAAATTATGAGATTTATTTTTCTCTTTTGCACATCTTGTTTCTTGAACTTCAAATGCCAATCCAACCATCTGAAATCAAACAAAACAGAAAACAATCAATAACAGGTAAAAAAAAAAAATTTTTTTTTTCTCTATAACTCAAAAAATTTTAATTTACAGCATAACAGAAAAAAATTCTATACTATTTATCCCATACTTATGCTTGTAGAATAAATGAAGCCTATAAAAACAAAAAAATGTTATTGAAATGGTATTCAAATTTCAACAGATTAAAAAGCAATATTATAGAGTACATTCAATACTCGTTTAACCATATCAGTGTTTCAAGGAAAGTGCTGCTAAACACGAAGAATTACAAACTTATTTAATGATAACTTAATTACAAATTAAGTACTCTGAGTATTGTGACGCTTATCGCCACTAAAAATTAAAATTAAGAGAAAGAGCTAGAATTATTTTTTCTTCTCGGCTTTTGAGTAAGATGTAACGCTTATCGTCACTCAAAATTAAAATCAAGAGAAAGGGCTAAAATTAGATTTCTAGAACATTCCAAAGTCTTCGATCAAATAAAACTACCGTGAGAAATTTCCATCGGCAAATAGTAACTTAAATAGGGATTAAATAATTCAAATAAACAATTAGGTTAGAATCTTACAATGTCATGATGGGACAAACTCAAAAACGACAATAACTTTAGGACTTGATTTTTCCCCAAATTTGCAACTTTTTATCACTAAAAAAAAATACGATATAAAAGCAGCCGAAGGAAAGGGTTAGAGAGCAATCAATCAGAGTGTGTCAAAGGCTGATTCCGAAACCATGAGTAAACTTGATAAGTCTCTCTCTCCAACTATTCTAAATTAATGTTTACACTAATGTTATAATGCAAAGTTGGTTTAATTGTAAATCTTATTTTTAAATATACATAACATATTATTTGTTTAAATTTAAGACGAGTAGCTTCCTTAATTTAATGTAATAATAATAACTATACGATACGGCAACTAAAAGCTAAAAGGGCCACTATATGCGCCACGGCATCTACTTTATTGAATTTAAAAAAAAAAAAATTCTTCCCTTTCTTACAATAACATACAAAGGTTTAAAATATGTAACGAATTTATAATTTCTGCCATTTAAATACCTTTAAAGTAAGAATCATTTGAATAGCATTGGTGTGTGGTGGTGGAATTGGCAGCCCAAAATAATGAGTACTCCTGAAGAAAGCCAAATAGCCGAATGAGAAAATTGCACTATAAATGTGGCATTTCCTACAAAAAGAAACATACATTTAAAATTAATATTATTTATTTGTATTTTGAAGAAAATAATCAATGTATTTAGATACAAATAAATAATTTAAATTCAAGCTCCTTAACTATCAAAGTACTTCAGTAAAATCACAAACATTTTCAGATGTAACTAACTAACTATAACCCTAAAGTACAACAGAAAAAGAAATTATTTGTTGTATGTGGAAGCAAGTATATTATTTTTCCACTACACTGGCTGCAGTCTATAAGCAGTTGGGGGTCAGCTTTGATCAGCCAGCGTAGAGACCAAGGAGCGGCATCGCTCCTCGATAAATTGTTCTAGCATAAAGTGCTTGACTTCGCACACAGGTTGTCAGGCTAAAAAAGCAGGAGAGTCATCTCCTATGCAGAGGATCAAAATCGAGATGGCATGTCTTTGGATCATCCTAAAAGCCTGGTTTCTTAGGACAGGTCGGCATTACAAAACGTCAGCTTGAAGCGAGCACTAACCTCTGTTTGGTCAATTTGTGAAATAGACAGCATACGTCATCGAACGCTCAACTTGAACGACGACTGATGTTCGAATAAACTGCAGTTGGATTACAAGGCAACGACAGAAGCAATGGCGGACAACATCCAGCAGAGCATTGAAATCACCCAAGATTTTGATTTTAACATTAAACATAGCTTTTTCTTCCTCTTCATTTAGCTAACATATGATGTGTTTTTTCTTGGACAAAGTCATTATTTGTTCTCTAAAGCACTGGTCGACAATAACAAAATCAATACAAATTCAAAATAAATATTTGTTTACGTTATTAACGCATGCGCAATGCGAGATAATGTCTGCATTGCAACGACTGCTCAGGCTGAGCTAACAAAAGAGCATTTTGTTGGCATCAGTGGTACGTCAACTTGACGCTGATGCCCAGAGAAGGTGCTTGTCTTTAGTGCAGCTCTAGTGTGACATAAATAAATTACCTACCTTTTCTACCACAAATTGCAATTGGGCTTCACATTTAAAAGATTAGTTCAGAGAAATAAGATTAACATAGAGCCAAGGTGTCATATTGGTTGAGGCACTGAGCTATTAGTGTGAGGGACCAGCCTACTCAGCTTTAGATAGATGAGTACTAGCTTGTCTCCGAAATAAAAGCAGTCATAAGAAAATTGTAGAGCCTTAATTTACAGAAAATTCCTGTTTAAAGCTGCAAAAGGCACTTATTTTTTTTAAAAAAAAAGATCAATGTAATGGGCTCTAAAACATCAGTAAAATGTAATTTGACTGTACTGGCTATTGCATAAATTATAAAAGAAATAATTTGTAGTCAAATCCCCTTTTAGTAAAATCAGAAATAGCAAAGCAATAAATATTTAGATTAAACCAAAATAATTACATTTTGGTTTGAAAAACTTCAAAAGAATGGTATCATGCTTTAGCCAAACATTCACAAAATAAAAACAGATTTTTAAATAAAAACAGAACAGAAATTTTAAACCGTAATTTTGAAAGACAAAACACGTCAAAATATCAATGTTTAACTTTAAATTGTTAATAATTCTAACTTTAAATTGCTAATTGTAAATTCCAGCATCACTTCCTATAATTGTCTGCACATTTAATAGGGCCTAAATAATGAAAGTTTCTCATTCTCAAAATCACCTATTGCTAAAACATATATACTCAGATATGAAAAAGTAATATTTGAGGAAAATGAATAATTAAAAATATGAATTCAAATACCAATATATTTAATGATTTAAAAACCTTGTGGTTTCTTAATCTGATCAATACATGACCAATTATTTATTAGCTACAAATGATTTATTATACTTAATAGCAAAACTATTTACCAATTAAATTAGCATAAATTTTAAAATAAAATACTCACAATTTAAAAATAATTAAATCTAAACAAACTAAAAGAAAAAGAAACAAATAAAGTTTAATAAATTTAAGTAATTATTACTTTTTAAAGAATTGTAGGATAATTGCATTAATAAGAGTAACGAGCACAGAATGAACAACATGAAAACCAGATACAATAAAAACTATGATAAATCCAGCACTTGTAGACAAAACCTGTCTTTGATAAGGATTTGGCACATTTCTAATAACAGGTCCAAGAATAACAGAAATACACAGTAGAGAAATATATATTATGTCATCTAATATCATTGCTGTTGAAAAACTATGGGTAAATCTGCTGTAAGAGTAGAATCTGAAAGAAAAGAAAAAATCTAAAATTCAGAATAAAGAAAACTTGATAAAAAACATTAAAGATCTGCCAACTCACAATTTTATGGCTCAGAACAAGCAGAATGGAATCAGTATTGCAATGTTATAATCTTGGTTATTTTTTTAATAACAAAAATTGAATAACTTCTTCCCAAACCATCCTGGATTTTATGTTAATTTTTTTTATTTTTTCTGTTAAAGGTGCTTTTTTTGTTCAAAACAATCTTTTGTTTAAATGAAATATTTCACCGTAAAATATCTTTAAACAAATGTTCGCTTGATGTCCATATTTAACTATTTGGAACTATTTTTCGTCCAGAAAGCAATAAAATTATGCCTTAGGTTAATAAACAATTGCTTGTTTTTAAATTTTCTTAATACTTAAAATTAATTTTTTTAAACTAATATAACTGATTTGAATGAAGATGTTAAATTCTTTGAACTTTTTAAATAACTTAAATCTTTTTTCAAAATATCTAAACAAACAAATCAGGGGTCTGTCAAGATTTTTCTGAGAGGTACCTATTTTGTGAAAATTTAGACATAATTTGTGAAAATTAAAAATTATGTTTAAAAACTAACAAAAAAAAATATGGCAAAACTTTGGATATGGATTTATTGTTTCTTATGGGATACAAAAGTGAAATTTTAAGAAAAAGTATTTTGTGAAATTCCTAAAGTTGAATTTGTGAAGGTACCAATAAACAGTAGTAAATTTGGCCCTGACAGACCCCTGCAAATGTATACTATTATTAATGAAACAACCTTTGTAAAAATAGGGGAGATTTCTGCATATGTGCCAGCACCAAAACAATCAATCAAGGAGTTTTGAGAAAGAAAAAAAAACATCACAGAAGGCAAAATAGTCACCTCCAATATTTTTTTTATTAAATTTTATCAAATATAAAGCCGTTTTAGTGCCTTAGTATTTGTGGTCAGAAATATATTTCCAACAAATGCAAATTCTAAAAATGTATAATTTAATTATGTCAGAAAAATTTATTGAAATTCAAAAATATCACACCCTTTATTTCTACGATTCTGATTCATCAATCAGGGGTGTATAGGTTTTTCTGAGAGGTACCCATTTTACGAAAATTTAGACATAATTTGTGAAAATTAAAAATTATGTTGCAAAATCAATACAAAAATATAGATTTATCGTTTCTTACGGGATACAAAAATAAACTTTTAAGAAAAAGTATTTTGTGTTCGAAAGTTGAATTTGTGAAGGTACCGCTAAACATGGTAGTAAAAATAACGGTAGACCTGAACAGATCCCTGTCAATGGTCTTGAATTTTTAATGTTACACAAGATGCTAATGAATAGATTAGATGACAATTAACAATTTATTTAAGAACATTAAATCAAAATTATATTTAACATTTCTCTCCACCCTTGATTGTTGAGTTTGGTCATCAAGAAAGGGGACTCTTAAGAAGATTTCCATACCTGTACCTATGCCAAAAATAAATAAAAAAGTGGTTAGATCTTTATTATCAACCACGCACAAATATGAAAAAACATTGCTGAAGGGTATCTCAAATTAACGACCTTAACTTGAGTTTTTGCCGGCAAAAAGGTATTTTTGCCAGGACAGTGGCAGAAACCTGGGAAAAACTGGTAAAAAACGGCAAAAACCAAATTATCTAAATTGCTGATTAATATTATTACAAAATACACTTGAAACAAATTTAAATCAATCATAAGGAATAATAATTTTGATACATTACATGAGAAAATTATTTATAAAATATTAATAATTAATATAAGGGTAATAATTTTTTAAAGATTGAAAGTCTTTGACCTCTTTTTAATTCAGAATCCTTAAATAAATGTTTTTTTTACAAATTGTATTTTTTTTACCTTTTCATAATAACTTTCGGTATGTATTATTTTACATTATATCACTCTTACACTATATTTAAAGGGAGACATAAGAAAGATTGACTGTAAATAATCTTTCAAAACTAGTGATCTGTAATGCTACGCTGAGACAGCACAAATTGTATTGTGATGATGAATAAAGTTGAATTTAAAAAATTGCATTGATATTTGTATATTTTAATTAACTACACATGTTGATAGACATTTTATTCTTTAAATTCTAGTTATATTAATTTAAAATAAGTTCATATCACTGGAAAAAAAGAGAATAATCACTAATTTTCCGAATCACTAAAATTCCATAATGCTTTAAACTACTAAAATGATATATTAATGCATTTTAATTTAATTATGGAATAATAATTTTGTTAAATTTTTTAAAATTATATATATTTATAGTATATATTACAATTTTAGGAATAATTTTGTATCAAAAATGTGTTTTTGTCCTCTCATCTTGGAAATTATAGGTTTTTGCCACTTTGCTTGGCAAAACCTGGCTTTGCCAGGACGGTTTTTACTAAGGTTTTTCCACCTGCAGCAAAATCTTGCCAACCCTGGTTAAGGTTGAACTCAAAGTGTAAGAATTAGTAATCAGCCCTGGGCAAACCACATGTACATGTTTTTTTTTCTTCTTCAAGTTTTTAGCAAAGTTTTTAGTTTTTGACAGCTTATTGGTCAAATTACTGTTCAATACTATAACTCATAATGTATATGTCACTGTCCAGTTTCAAACTTAGCAATTATTGTGGTGCTATTTAAATTCATTCTGATTCATTAGAAAAAAAAATTAGAAAAATCTATTATTTTTTAACATTAAATTATTAGACTAACAAATGAAAAAATTTTAAAAATTATACAAAATTTGAAACATTTAGATTTTTGACACTCTTAGAAATGCTATAGCAAAATCACCCTTTTTAAAGGAATAAGTTAATTAGTAAGCAATTCTTAGAGCGTAAAGAAACAATCAATTTTAAATAACAAAAACAAAACAAAAATCAAGTACAGTGTCTAAATTAATTTGTCTCAAAATGCTTCTACTAACGGATATACTTTTCCTTATTTATGAAGATTTATAAATATCGTCTGCAACTAAGATTTGACAAGAACAACATTCTACACAATGTCGAAACAACTTTGAAAGACAGAAGAAAGGAATAGACTTTTCAATTTTATTTTAAATTAGCTTTAATTTATTTATGCATACAATTTAATAACAAATAAACTTACATAAAGAATTTATCCTATACACCGCAACAAGCAGAGAAGGGAACGCTAGTTGCAGGAAGAAAATATAAACAATACCATTTCAGTTCACATCATTTTAATCTACAAAAATTAGTTTTAAAATTTATTTTGTATAGTATTTTAGCTTCATTCAATTTGAAAAGTAGAATTGATTTTACTCCAACTTTTATCAAGCTTAATAAAATAATTTTTTTTTTTTTACTATTTTGAATTGTGGTATATAAGTAAGCTATAAGCCAATATTTTTATCTATAGAGAAGCTTTGAATTTTTTAATGGCATTGAATTTTTAATCTTGATTTTAAAACAAAATTTATTACTTCTCATGATTGTAAACATTTATATTTAGAATATTGAATTATAAATTTAATTATTTCGATTGTAAAAACGTACTTAAAAATATTTCAGGCCAAAACGTTTTTGTAAGGGTGGTGGCGCTAGTGGTTAAATTGCTGTAGCAAGACTTCCAGGTTACTGCTTCCGATATATTTTTAGGCCGCAGAATGAAAAAACGCGCCATCATATTATTGCATCATATCTTTAGCAGTAATTCACATGAACCGAGTTCTTTCTTTCAGCCTTTAAACTTCAGCATTATCATATCAATATTCCGCACTGATGTATTTTGTTAATTTTTTTCAGCAATGGTAGTTTATAATGTGTTGCTAGTAATGGTAAAATTGTAAAAAAAAGTTTATGAACTATCACTATCCAGAATACTTAGCTAATTTAAAGCAGAGTCGAACATCATTAGAATGCAGGGTAAAGAAAGTTTACAGTTAAACATTTATAAATAATTCTTTTCACTTCCATTTGCTATTGACTTTATTATATATGTGTAATAAATAAAAATTTTAAAAGCCTAGTCATTCAATTTTGCTAATCCTGTTTAACAATGCAATAAAGTATGATGACACACATGAATTGAAAAAAAAAAGTTACAGAAGGTTCTCAAGTTAAACATTACGTACGAAAAAATAATTTTAAATGCTTTTCTTTAGTTTTATTTACCCAAACAATTTTATATCTTTAATTGAAAATATAAATTTGAAAAACCTAGTCATACATTTATGCTGTTAACTATTGATAAAAAATTCTTTACAGATTACTCATGTAGGGTAAGTTGTATGTAGAGAGAGGGGCAAGCCAGGCAACTAAGAGCTCTAAATCTTCATATTTATAATTTTTGTTATGGAATTTTTTTAACGGGTAAATTTTTGGCCTATACAAAATAGTTATGAAAAATAAAATTTTTAAAAAACATTTAACAAAGTAGTTTTTAATCATTAAAATGTAAATATTTTTAGCATTTAAGAAGAATAAAAAAGTATACCTAATTTTGTTTTAAATTATAATTTTTTTATAAAATACTTCTTATTTGCACATTACATCAAAAAAAAACTTTATACATATATTTAGTTTTTTTATTTTTTAAATCAATGTAATAAAACTCAATTGTTCTGAAGCTTTACCTCTTCACGTTTAGCAATATTTTCTTTTTATTATTATTACATGAAGTTTTACTTTTGTTGAGTATAAATTTTACTACACTTCTTTCTTATAAATTTTTAAGAAAAAATTATTGTAATACAGTTAATAATTTTCACAATGAATGAATAAGAATAATCGCTTTCTTAAAATATAGCATTTATTGTATACACTAAACATATAGAATTACATTTCAGTTGCTATTACATTAATGCAGTGTTGTTACAAATTAATTATATAAAGGAAATAATTTATTAAAATTGCTCCTTTTTTCATAAAGGTGTACAATATTCTGCTTTTACAGTTTAAAATAGTATTGCATAGAGAAACTTTAAAAGACAGTTTTGCATTATTATACGATTGAAAAGTTTCAGTTTATTAGCAAACATAACTAATATATTCTTCTAGTGTAAAAAATATAAAATAGTTGAAAAATTTAACCGGGAATATAAAATACTTTTTGCATAATTGAATCATTAGATGCAAAAGGGACACAAGATGAGGAATATTTAAAATAAGTGCTCATTAATTCTCAATATTTTAAAGCTTACCAAAAATTAAGTAATTCAATTGTATATAAAATATATTTACAAAAATCTAGTACATGGTATGAAATTGGAAATGTTATTACTGTATATCTTGGTATCGATAAAAGTTCAAAATAGTTGCACATTTATATTCAGAAAACAAAACACTTTAAGCGTGAATGAAACACTCAATTAAATTATATCTAACAGGGATGCACAACCCACAGACCAAATGTAGCCTATGAAGATTTTTGATTTGGCCCCTGAACCTTAAGCATTGATATAAAAATATTTAAAAAAAATTTTTTTAAATTCTGGTCTCGGAGAAAATACTACTTTACCAGTTATTCTGCTTTTATTTCATTCTTTTCGTTTACTTATTGATGACCTCAAATGCATCGATTTAAGGCTGTAACCAGCCAAACTAGAGCTTTTTCCATGCTGCCTATTTTGTTAGCATCAATTCATCAGAGAGCAGAGCTGCCACTTCATGTCTCATACTTGAAATTTACCTATATTTCTAGTATTAAAATAAGTTTTATTAATTTGATGCATTAGTTGCTGGCATCAATTTTACATAAATCAGATTGTGGATAAAAGCCACGTAGTTCTATGCTCTCCTGCCAATTTTTACAGGTCAAATCCAAAGCTTTTCTGCCAGAATCTGCTGACAGAAATTTTGTAGCAACAGAAAAATTATGTCATATTGTCTCACATACATGAGCTAAAGCTGACGGATCTTTAATATTGTAGTCAATGCGTCATAAAAGTTTGATGCATCAGTCAAGGTATAGCATTCATCCTTCATGACCAGAGATCATGCTGCAGATGGAAGTACATTTGATGCTTGAACTCAATACTTGACTGTCTAGTTTCCAGGAAATTCAGTGAACTGACATATTCGTATTTCATCACTTGTGGCTGATATGTGTCATTAAGTTTCGTTACTTTGTGCTCATCATGACCAAATTCTTGTGTTTGTAATTCTACAATAATAATTGGATGTACTGAACTTGCAATAAGCTTTGTTGTTGACTTCTCCTGATTTTCCAGCAGGTTATTGTGTGATATGTTACAGAATTTGAAGATATAAAATGAGAGGAGGAAATATATTTCCAAAACTAAATACTTCAAAAAAAATTATAATTTTAAATGAGCTAATCAAAAACATCACATCTATGTGATAATTTATTAATTATTAACTGTGGCAACAGAATTTATTTTCTAATAATAATACTTTAGCGGTAAATGAAATTTTTAATTTTCTCGTTTTCTTTTCTTTTGATTTTTGTTTCTAAATTAGCTGTAATAAACAGCAATGTAATTTTGTGTCTATATTTCTTTGCATTAAATTTTTTTTATTTCATTATTTGCACTTGAGAAGTTTCATCCATGTTATAATAGGTTATTATTATAACTAAACTATTATTACTATTACTAAAAATTTTTTTTTGTTTTTATGATCACAGATTTGCGTTACTTGTGTTGTCTCTGAATATGGTAAGTACTTCCTGGTTTTTATGGCCAGTTATCTAAGAAAGGTTGTGCAACCCGCATGCATAAAATATATTTACAAACTTTAAAAAAAAAAAAAAATTTAAACACAGGCTATATAATTGAAAATGTTAGTTTGAAGCATCAACTAGAATAGTTTGACATTTGAAATCAGAAATACCAACAAATTAGTCTCTCAATTCAATTGTGTATGAAATATATTTGTAAAATAAGATAACAAAATCTCTTAAATACATATTATACAATTTAGCAAGTTTCTATTTTACTAATTAATATGATTCTCTTACAAGTTCAACATAAAACATTTATAATATGAAACAAATCATTAAACTAAATTTTGTTTAAAATATCATTTCAAAATTAAACTTTTTCTCTTAAATACATCTTCTATCAACACTACAGGCAGTTGCTAGCCTTGGCTATCTCAAGCAGCCTATTCTATACTGATCTGAGCGATTTACTCCCATACAGCTAAGCAATAACACACTGCATCTCTTAAATATACACTATCTAGGAACACTTATGGAGTAATCTCATTGCCGGCGATTTATATACGTCTTTGCACCTAAATGTGATTCACACATGAACAAGCAGTTTTTTTTTCTTAATGTACAGTTTCTAAGCATGTGCGTGTAAGGCAATAGGATGAACTCTGAATGGATGTTTTTATGCAGGAATGATCACTTCAGAACATCATTTCTGTTTAATAAACTTTAAAAATTGTTGAGATATTTAATTTGGATATAAAGTAAATTAATTAAAACCTTTACATACATGAATCACTTAACGCACATAATTTATCATAAATGAAGGAAGTAGATAAGTGCAATATTGATTCCTTGTGTTTAAGCCCTTGCTGAATTGAGTTATTATGTATAAATATTTATAACTAAATATTTTGGATTTGTTACACATATAAAATAGTTAGACATTTATGACAAAAAGTATAAAATATTTCCTTTACAAATGAATTGCTTTCGCATAAAAAGTATAGACTTTTGAAATGAAGTAGTATTTGCTCAAGTAATTATTTTTTAGACATGGCATTTAGAAATTTTGTTTGATAACTAAATTTTCATTATAAATTCTGCTCGTATTCAAAATACAAAATGGTTGAATGTTTTAATCAAAAGTATAAAATAATTCATGCGTAACTGTATATAACTATATATTTACATAGTTGCCAAACTTAGATTTTTAGAGACATTCCTTAATTTTTGTACTCTTCTTTGAACTGAGGAAAAATTTACATATCAAAATGAAAATAATAAAAATTCCTTAAAAAGATAATTTTAAAAAAGAAATAAATTATGTTAAATGTAAATCTTATATAAAAATTTATTATTAATATAGTTATAACAAGTAAGCTGTTTAAACATTTATAATTTTTGCAAGAGCTATTAGTTTTAAAAAATTATATTTTAGATATAACTATTCATTTTGAGTTTTTTTTTAAAAAACAGAATTTTAACTTCCAAAAAATGAGAGGTAAAGGGGAAAAGCTTTCATTTAATAATGAGTAACCAACTAAAAATGTATAAAGGTTACTTATACCTCAATTTTATATTAAAATTATATTCTTAAAAAAATCAATATTTCATGGGAAAATTTTCTTGTACAATTAGTTTTGTAGTGTTAGTATCAAAATTTGCAAAATTTTTACTTTGAAATGTTGGCCGCTATGGATTGGTAAATAATTTCCCTGTCGGAAAAAAAAATATATATGTATATATATAAAATATATTTCTACCCCCGTGGCTGAATCACGTTGTCGCAGAATGTTGCTGAATTCTTGCAGAAAGATTTTTCTTTTGGGAAGTAAAAAATTTTGTTTTTCTTTTTTGCGAAAACTTTAGAAATTTTTTATTTTCTGCAGAATTACATTCAAAAGATGCCTTTCTCGCGCATCAGAGTGGAAAGAAATTCTCGCGATTTTTATTATCTTCTTATTTATTATTTTTATATTCTCATATGAGAAATAACATATGTAGTGTTTTGCTCATCCCCCCCCGACAATTATTGCTACCAATTTTTACTTTTTTTTATGTAATTATTTTTGAAAAAAAATCTGTGTTTTTTTCATCGCTCGGATACTATTGTGATATTTTTTTAATAATGCCGATATTATTACGGCACACAAAGTTCGAATCTTGGAATCAAGAAATCATTCTTAAACATGCCCGATTTGCACCGATATCATTGATCCACACAGTGTTTCTATCGTTCTTTCGACAGCTTTCCACATTTAAAAATCTACTCGTCTACGGATTTCCACATTAAAAAAAACATCCTCTATGTTTTTTTAAACAATTTTATTACACACAAATGGTTAACTCATCATCGCTTATTTGATAATTTACTTTTCGATTATGAAGGTTTCAAATTTTTTTCGGCAGTTATTGCTGGGGCTACCGATTTACACGGGGTTTTTAAAATTATGGTTATTTCTCAGTTGATATGATTCCTGCTTGTAATCTCGCATTTAAATAATCATTTTCTGATGCAAATCACACTTTACGCCAATATCGTAAATCCATAGTGTTTTGATTGTATTTTTAACAGTTATTGACATTGATTTTCACTTGGTTTTTAAAATCCGATATTTTTCATACGTTGTCTATTTACAACAACCAAATTTAAAAACGAAACACACATTTGAGTAACCTCTTTTTAAAGAGTCTGATTCCCGAGATTTGGTAGTTACTGCAATGGATTTGACGATTTTTAGTATTTTTTTTTTACTGAGATGATGATTTACAAAATGCAAAAAGGAAATAATTAGTGCGTTTTTCCCTTTCAAAATTATATTTAAAAAAACTAAATATTCTATTAAAAAAAATATATGTACAATTTATTTAACCAAAAAGAATATTCATTTTTTTCTAAACACAACGTTTTTGTCACTTTAAATTAGTAACGATTATTTTAAAAAGTATCTTGTAGAAAGATATTAGTGCTAGAGAGGTTTGTCGCAAAAAGCCCGAAAAATTCTGCCACAGGGATTTCTACATTTATAATCTCGACAGTTTGACCAATACAGCGTTGTGACTGGACCTTGTCCACTCACATAATCTGGTTCAAAAGCGCCATTACTGCACATTTTCCTATCCATAAACCAGACTTAAAGGTGATGAATGGGTCTAGTCTTGTAATAGTCTGAGAAAAAGAATAGAGAAAAACGTTAACTTATTCTTTGAAAGTCTGCCACCTTAAGTTCATTATTTAAAAAGAGGCTAATGCTGAATTGGTAAATAACTGGTATAAAAAGGTAAAAATCAGGTACATAGTTAGCTAAAAAATGTTTTTAATATCCTATAAAAGCGCGTTAGTTATGGGTGACTTTTTCTTGAAAATATAGCTTATAATGACTTTGACTCTTTTAGCTCTGGTATTATTTTTTTATCTTTCTTAACAACTTTTTTTAAAAATCTATTTTTTACAAAAGCAATAACAAATAAAAACAATATTAAAAAATGTCCCGTATAATAAATAGAGCTCCAGTAATGAAGGATAACTCCAATGTCTAAAAGAATAAATGCAACACCCATATATGATATGCACTGCATTTTTATGAAGTACCAAATGAAATCATAAATTTTTTGACTCGTCGCAGATGCATTCTTACGGAAAGCTTTTTCCACCTCAATTTCAGATATCAGTAGCAGCGGAGTGCCCAGAAGCGACAAATAATAGCCTGGGTGAACGCCATGCCAAATGGCACTTACAAACATTGTCACAAGCATTCTAAAAATAAAAAAAAAGCATATCATTATATAATCTTAACAGATTTGAAATAAGAATAAATAGAAAAATTTACTAAAATGCATATTTTAATTGAAAATCCTTTATAAGCTAAAACATATTTAATTGAAGTAATAAAACACAAGTAATGAAATAGAAACAAAAATTATAAACATCCACAGGAACATTTTATAATAAAATGGGAAGAAATGTATGAAGAATTTTTTTTCAATTAACCACTTAATAAATAAAAATTTTTTTCTTTATTTATTTCCAAAAAAATAATAATAAATAAATAAAATAATTTACAAATCAATTGTACTTATACTATAGGTCATATATTTTGAGACATCCAATGGACAAATTAGTGTTAAAAATAAAGCAATTTATGTAACTTTTAAAAAGAAGTGAAAAATGTTGGACCAACATATAAATTTTTTTTAACATAATCAAAAAGAATTTGAGTGTCTCATATTTTAACAAAATAAAGGCAAATATTTCACCAGAAGGGAGAATAAAAAGAAAAGTATTATAGATAAATATATTGTACACTTTGAAAAGAAAATTGAAAGAGCATCTTTTTAAACCCAAAGAGTGCAAGAATATTATGCATATTTCTATGTGATAATGCAATATCCTTTCTTGTCTATTAATAATATAAAGTTGTTTATATTTCATCAAATTTTGACCACAGATCAGAAACAAAGAATGAGATTGATCCAAAGAAAAAATGAATCAGGTTAAATAAGCAATAAAATCAATTAAAACAGTGATTTGAATATTTTTATAAATTTTTGCAATCAAATGACTCATTGTCAAACTAAATTTTTTTTAATGCAAAGCAAAAATCTTTAATTATAAGTCAACAACTTAAAAATGCTTTTCTCTGTTTAGCTTTGAGTTATTTCTATATCAGAAACACCAAGAATGAGAATCTAAGGTTAAGTTAATCTAGGGCAAAGTTAAAAATAAAACATTTTTCATTTGAAATAAAAATCAAAGTAAAACTTTGTACAGTTCAAGAAACATTTTGTGAACAAAAAATCTATAAATTATGTATACATACCATATGTAACAAATAAGGATTGTATTATAACAAATAAGGATTTAGCCGAATTCCGGCTGCCAAAAAAATAAAAAAACTGCTGAATAGCAAAAAAATCATTAATAAATATAATTTTTAATACATAAATAATTTTAGTCATTATTGAAAATGAATCAAAACTTATCTATATTATTGGCATGGGGCAAAAGGGAAACAAAACTTTAATAGAAAACTATGATGTAAAAAACTATAAAAATATTTAAGATAAATAAGAATACTGACTAATAATTACATAAAATTTAAAAAAAAAATTTTGAAGTTGTAAAATTTAAAAAAAGAAAGAGAAATACAAAAAACCCTCTTAATTCTTAAAAAGAAACTTTAATGCTAAAAATACTTTTCGGAAAAAAAAAAATTCATAAAGAGTTAAAAAAATATAGTCAATCAGAAATGCTTTTAAAAAGGGTGTGTTATCATAAAACTGCATATAAAAACAAGATAATATACAAAAGCGAAACAGAAAAAATAAAAACCAATCTTAGAAAATTTAAAGCTGAACATCTGTTTTCCAATTACTGTTTTGTCAAGAAAAAGTGATGAGAAAAAAAAAAAAAAAATTTGATAGAAAGCATCTCACTTGCCACATCATAATAAAAACGTCAATAAAAGCAAATGTTAAAAAAAAAAAAAGAGGTCGGATAAAAACAAAAATCGTTCTTAGTTTTTAAACTAAAAATTTAATGCTAAAAATCTCAAACTATTTCATATATAAAAAAGTGATAATAATGNAAAAGCAAAAGTTAAAAAAAAAAAGAAGTCGGATAAAAACAAAAATCGTTCTTAGTTTTTAAACTAAAAATGTCAAACTATTTCATATTGCTATACTATTAGAAAAAAGTGATAATAATGACTTTTATTAGAAATACTCTTGAAAAAATGCTGTGTCATTATAAACAAAAAGAAAATAAACAAATTTAATATAAAAACAAGAGAAAGAGGAAAAAAATGTTCTTCGTTCTTAAAAAAGAACTTTAACATTGAAAATCCAAATTTTCTACATTACCAGTTATCTGTACAGGAAAAAAGTAACAATAAAAGAACAAAAATTCTTAAAACAAAAAGTGTTAAAAAAACGACAAAATTGATTTGCCTGAATATAATTTAAAAAAATCAGCAATACAAAACTCATGGTTCAGTATAAAGTAATCTAGTTTCAATTCTTCAAATTTCGCTTTTCTAGTCATTCAGAATCTAAATTTGCAAGTTTCAGAAAGTAACAAACATGTGTAAAAAATATTTCTAATAATGTATGTAAAAAATACAATTTTGGATTATTATTTTTTAAATCTATTCAAATTCTGTAAGAAAAAACCTTTTCCAAAAAAAAATGACGGATATTAAGACCAACCGAATATTATGAGGAACATCCAGCCGAATATTTGGCAAAAGAGCCCAATATGCGTTACATTCGTATATGTATCACAACCAATTTAATTTTGTCTACTCCTTACATACTTAAGAATACAAAATCTTGAGTTTAAAGAGTAGGCAAGGATGCCACTTTGTATAAATGCTTCTAACAGTCATATTTTCTCATAAAATGACTTTTAAAAAAAAGGAAACTAATGATAATATTAAATAAATAAAACATGCCCTAATATATTTAGTAATCCAAATAACAACAATCTGAGTTTATAAAAATATTAAAGATTGCATTAAAATAAATGTTACTTACTTCACAGGTTTTGGAGCTGCAGTTTTTCTGTAAATATAAATTGCAAGCCAATATTGAACAGTCATATTCCAATATCTGATACCCTCCCTCATAGTGGGTCTGAATTCACTAGCAAGCTCATTCATGCATCTAATTGATTCAAAATTATATGTTGCTGTCGCCAGGGCTTTAGAATCATTATCGCTGTAAAACACAAACCTCACAATTTAATTTCATTAGAAAAAATATAAAAAACAATAATTTATCAACAATAGAATTAATGAGCATTTCTTAAAGGCAGGAGAACATGCTGGAAATTAATAGCCTCAACTATTTAGCGATAGATTGAACAAGTGACTCTTTTATATGCCTTTCGTTATGAAATTATGACTCTTACTTTTTACTGATTTTTTTAAAATAATGTTTGTAAATTAGCACTTTTTTAAAAGGCAGATATGTGACATCTGGAACATCATTATTCCTTATTGTGTTTTGGCAACACCTAGTAAGTAAACTCCAAGTTCACATATCAAAGCTCGCTTCGTCTATCGCCATCATTAAAGATGTTTGTGTTTTTTACATACTTAGTATTTAAGTACTGTTACAGGCATCATTATAGTTAACAAATAACATAACAGTTTGATTTTTGTAGAACGGCAGCTCTTTCTAAGTGAATTTAGTTTTATTAAAGCACATCAAATAAAAATATTGAAGAAGTTATTATTAAAATAAATAAAGTAAATATTACATATGCTTATAATTTCTCTATTTTTCATAAAACATGTTTTTAAATATAGGAAAATTCAAGCAACAAATATTTATATGAATGTCATAGCAATACAAAAAAAAATAATAATAATAGTAATAAATTTAAAAAATTCAATTCATATATAACAAAGTTATATATAAACAAATAAAAATTTGTTTTTAATTTTTGTCGTTTGCTGAAATGAGGAAAGATTTGTTTCAATTTGGGGGATGTCCCAATCAAATTTGAGGGTTAGGCATACCTAAATATTTCTAAAAGAGAAAAATTGATTTTTGAATTTCATAATAAATAGATTCCTGAAGAAAAAAAATCTTTAACATAATAACTATTAGAAAACAAAAATCTGAATTGTGCTATTCTTTCAGCAGTTTTTGCATAAAAAAATATAAAAATTGCTTTAACAAATTCAGTTTATTCAGTAATAAGAACATTTGAGATACAGCCAATCATGGCTATATCTTATTTGTGATCACGAAGCAAAAGTAATTTGATTTCAGTATTTTACTCGAGAGTAGTATTACTGAATCGCAAGTACGTATGACAAGCATCCAAGTCTTTTTGTTTGGGTGTTTACTGGTTGCCTACTGCAGGGGTAATTGTGAGCCCAAGTCAAAATTCCGGAATATTTCTTGAGTTAAAAAAAAAAAGTTTAAATTAGAAAAAATTTAAACAAGGTTTTTCTTCTTTTTTCTCAATATTTCTTTGTTTACTTAAAATATATTTAAAATTTTACATATACCTATATCATTTACACATACCTATGATGACCTGGAGAAGTAATTTTTACAAAATAAAGTAAAATTTACAAATATGGCTTTCTTTCTTGAGTTTATGATCATAATAACTATTTACTGATAAAAAATGAATGTTAATCATGAATATAATAAGCTTATAAAGTATCTGGCTCTCCCTTACAAACAAATTAAATAAACTGTGTTTTTAAGTTCCATCTTTGAAAATTTGATTTCCGGAAACTTCTGTGATCAATGATTTTTTTAAAGGTCTGAACCTTCCATCTCCGGAAACTTCTGGATCCCTGTTAGCGAAAAATCCGCATTAACCACTTCTTCAAAAGCAACATAGCAAATCTTAAGCATACTTGGTTTCTTATCTGTCTCTACTTATAGATACATGTTACGCTTTAATGCCAAGTTTATCTCATTATATTTGCAGTCACTGATTCGAATTTATCCTTTTAAGATCATAATTTCTATGACATCGGAATTTAGTGTATATCCACTTTATAAATAATTCTTACTAAACATTTATTAAGAGAAAAAGACTACAGAAATTAAACTGCTATTTACAAGTGTGTATGGAGCAGAAGCTCCTGGTGACTTCTACAGATTCATTTTCAAAAGAGAAGTGTGCACTTTTCCCACTTGCATCATATATAGTTATTTCTTTCGTGTCACGTGATCCATAATATCCAGACTTCCTTGTGAGGATTGACACCTTAATAAGTAACCATAAGACTGGATGAAGATGTTCTCTAAACATTTATTAAAATGAATGATATTTTGGTTGTATAAAAACATCTTACTGCACAGTATGGATTCATTTTATAAATAAAGATTAAATTTTTTTAAACTAATTATCAATAATTTATACTTGAAGTGCTTTTTTATTATGCAAAAGAGATTATTGAATGCTCTCATCTATTAAAAAGGGCAAATACCATTAAAATATAATTCTTTTTAAGTTTAGTTTTAAGATACCTTAATTCTACTTAGCCATCATTTTAGATGTGACATACATACATAGTATTATTTAATCCTATTTATTCATAATTATTAATATATTTTGACTGACACCAATATCACAAGATTTAAGAAATAGAGAAAAATCTCATTAAAACATGGACTTATAAACAAAAATTATTAGGAAAATAAACAGGCTCTCTATTTTTCTGGTCCATCGGGGTTCCTTTCTGCAGTTTATATGATAGAAAGAATTCATTTTACATTAAAGTTATAGTGAGCTTTCTTTTGCGACACTTTAAATTCTTTGCACATGGAAATTCTGCTTCTAATACTATTATTTATTTTTTTGGTTATATTTTAAGAACAGTTTATTCCAGATCTAAAATTGTTTAATTGAAACCAATATTGTTAATTTTCACCATTATTTTTTCAATTTAAGAAAATTTGCTTACATCTCTTGAAGAGCATTGAGGTTAGTCGGTCCAGCACCCGGTTGAGTGTTGCTTTTCTCGGGATAAGCACCCAGTCCCAGATTTATGCAGATACATTCACCAAGCACAAATGCCACATAAATTCTCATACGAAAGCTAAAAAACCATGGCCACACGTAAAAAATTCTGTGCATAAATGGCAGTGTCCAGATCTCTTGGGACGAAGCAAACTTTACAAAATAAATTAATAAAATAGTTAGTAAAATATACATTCTAGTGTGATAAACATATAAATAAGTGAATAAATAAATGAAAATACTGTTTTAATTAGAAAATCATTGCACACATAATGTTTTTAGTTTGCCCTGAAAGTGTATTAAGTTAACAGTACCAAGTCTAACACTTCAACAATAAATACCTGAAATATTAATTAGTATTAACAGATCAATATAACGATTGATATATGCTCAACATTTTGATTTAAGTGTATGAATTAAAATAACTACTGTAATTAGATAATAAATAATTACAAAAACATTTTATGAAAAAAAAGTTTACACAGATGTTTTTTAAATAATCTTTCTTAAAAAAAATTATAGAGGGGGAAGTATCGTAAAAACCTATAAGCATGCAAGCAGATATAAACAATCCTGATCCACTCAATTTCATATGATAAAAATATATTCAATTTAAGTAAAATTAAAATTTGGGATGAGTTAAAAGTTGCAAAACAATGTGATTAAAAATAAAAAGGAAACAGTTTTTAAAAAAATGTATTAGAGTATACTCTCAATATCTCAAAGCTGAAAGGACGGGGGGGCAAATTCGAAAGAGATTTTTTGAGATAACAAATTCAGAACTAAGTAAGTTTTAAGTAGAAAAATATATTCTAAAACATTACTCTAAAAAGTAGAGTCATTAAACATAAGAATAAATACTATTAAATATGTATACAATGATAGTTGATTATAAGTCTAAATACAAATGTACCGTTTCTCTGGTACATTTGTAATTTTATTTTGATAATAATTTTATTTTTAAATAAAATTATGAAATGATAATTTTATTTTAAAAGTAAGACACGAACAATGAGGCATCATATAGAAAAGAATTGGTTAACAATAAGCTTACAATTTACATTGTGATTTTTCCAAAAAAAAAAGGCAATTTCTATTACAAAAAAGATTCGATATAACAAGATTTTGAGAACTGCCCTGGATTCTCTTCTAACACTGCAGGATCACAATAATATCTGGTTACTCTCTGACAGTCTCAGTTCCATACAGTACTTATCGCATTGGAGGAAGGTGAGAGACAAAACAGGAGCTTCAATCCTGCACAAACTTAAAATCCTCTTATGACTGAGAGAAGTCCACCTCCAGTGGATCCCTTCTCCTGTTGGGGTTCCGGGCAATGATATCGCCGACACTCTGGCTAAGGAGGGGACAGAAGAAACTTTGATGATTCCAAACTCACTCACCTTCATGGAACTGGCATCGAAAAAGAAAAAAGACAATGTTTCCGGGCTCGTACCCCCAAACATCACTGGTACCAGAGCACCTGTCCAGGTGGTGCACTCAACATTCGGTGCAACCGCAAGGATCAGACAGCGCTTACCAGCGGCCACCTTAAGTCTCTTTCTTTCGTGGGTAGTGTTAAAATTTTCCCAAACTGCCCCAGGTGCCACAACATGCAGGCCTCTCCCCAACATATCCTGGACTGTCTTCGACTGGACGAGAGGGACATTCTACAAAACCCACTTTTGGTGGCCGACTTCCTGCGGGTTATGAATTTCATGGACATTGTTTAGCCCTGCTAATTTCGGGGATTAGGAAGAAGATTTTGAGAAGGAACTCCTCAACTTGGGAATTTAATTTAACGTTAGGTGGATATATAATGCCAAGAAGAAATTTTTTTTGACATAACGATGTTTTCGAGATATCAAGAACATATTGTATTTACAAATGATATAGATTTAAAGTACTCTTCCTATTTGAGGATTTAATAGTGAAACACTTATTAGAAATTTGCATACTTTAAATTTATATACTTTCCTAAACGATTTTTTATAAACTATGTCTGTTCACAATTACAAGCATATTAATAATAATCGCTTGATTTAAAATCTCATGAAAATGGTGACAATTTAACTAATTTCACTAAAGATCATACTTTTTAATCACATCACTTTCTAATTAACAATGTAATAAACGATACTGCAATAAGCACATTATGAAATGTAATACACTCATAATATGTATAACAATGATTTTTTAAATGCAGCTTTGAAAAAAACTAAGAAATACTCACTTCAAGAGGAAAAAAGTAATCTGTAAGAAGATAGAGGCATGCATACAATGGCACAACAATGATCCTTTTCTTTAAGAATGAGGAATGTGAGACATTCATGCTGTATGGCTTCTTGAATAGATCTTCATACGTGCGGAACCTATAATACGGTCCTAGGAAATAAAATAAAAAGCTTAGCTTATTAATAGGGATATATTATAAACATTGAAAAGACTACTGTTGTTAGGCCACTTGACAAGAATATACAAAAACAGAAGTGCAAAAATTTCTTTTGGGGGGAGATAGCAGGAAGGAGAAGTGTAGAGAGATACAGAAAAGGATGGCAATTCACAAATTATAAGAGGGCTAAGGATCGTTAAGTTTGGAGCTGGCCATACATCCTTCATGGGTTGTAATGCCAAGAAGTAAGTAAATATAAAAAAGGTTGGCGAAAGTACATAGAACATTAGAGAAAGTAAAGTACGAAGGGGGGGTCAGTGCAAAATATGCCTGGTTTGACCGTCTTAGAAAAGTTTGATTTCATCATTTTTAATTTTAACCTTCAAAGCATTGAGCCCTTGGGCATAATTTTACAGAAAGTTGCTTTCATTACAACTGTTCTATTGAAACACGTAGGGAGGCAAGAAAGCCTGTTCGAAAAAGTTTATGAGAAGCCAGGATGAAAACTTAGACGGCATTAATATTGGAAATAACTAATAGAAAAATTGTTAGATAATAACATTACACATTTGAGATTGACTGAAGAGACTATGGCCTACCATGCAAATTTTTTTAGAAACACCATTGAAGATAAAAAAAAAATCAATCCTAATTTGGTTCCATTAAGTTATCTATCATAAATTAAATGCTCAAATTAACGGCACAAGATGTTTTCTACCTTTAAATTCAAATTAAACAGTTGAATTTTTTTAACTTGTTTAAATATAGTTGATTCTTGGTTATGATAAAAATTGAAATTTTTTATTGAAGAAGTTTGTAGCCCTCAATTAGTAACAATGCTATATGAGTTTTAAAGCACGATAAAATTAAATTTTTGGATAAAATGAAATAAAAAGGAGTGAATTGGTCTAAGGTTTTTAATATTAATTCAGAGTAGCTTTAAAAATAGAAATAATAACATACCAACAAGTAAGCCTGCATAGCAGAAAGAGTACTGAATAATATCAGTAAAGGTAGGTTTTATTCGGGTGTATTCTTCTTTTATCTTATCCCCTGCATCAGATGATAAAAAATTTAAATGATGGATATTAACTTCATAAGCCAAACCTACCATCTATAAAGCATTAAAAAACAAATATAAATTAATTAATAAATAACTTACATATACGAAAGTAAATTTATAACAGTTATCTTTGTAAACAAAAAAAAAACAAGTTTTTGTAAAATTTAAACCTTTTTTAGCAAGATAAAAAAAAAACATTCACTGAATACCAATTATAAATAAAAGCTTAAAATGCATATGTGTTTTTTTTTTCAAGATTAGTTTTAAAAGTTAAAAAGATACACATCTGTTATTATGCAATTTAATGAACAAAAAAGAATCTGAAGCTTCAAATTCAATTAAAATTGATACCACTACAGAATAATAACTACATTAACAATATGATAAAGTGAAACTCTGGATTAACAAATTCATATTTCGGTTTTTAATTACAAAAAGCAAATTTTAGCACTATGAAAAAAATTAAGTCATTTAAAATTATTTATATAAATTATAATGACTTTTTACCAATTTTATCTTCATAACAATAAAAAATGCATGAACATGCTTGAAAGTATTTTAAATTTGTAAAATAATTTAGTCTTTTTCTTATATTTATTCAGAACAACACAAAAGGTTCTATGGCAAAAAACCTAAGTGGTACTTGAAAATGTGATCAGAACATTAAATAAAATTAATAACTAGAGAATAAAACATCGAAAATAATAAAGAAAACAGTAAATTAGTCTACACAACTACTTAAATAACAATATAAAAAGTTTTTAAAAAATTGGGGAAAAGAATTCCCGACTTAATGTACGTTTTATTACATATTACATACATTTAAATTTTTTTTATGCCCCATAAATTTTCATAATTTCTTTTAAAATTATTTTTTCAGATTAATTTATAATTTCTACAGATTTATACAAAAAAAATTCTAGTTTCTCCTTGAAGAATTAAGCAACATTTTTTAGTGGGTTTGAAGAAATTCCTCCATGCCTAAAGTATAAGTAAAAAAACAAATGTTTCAACCTGAAAAATCGATTGATTGAATTGATTTTAAAAATGCATTTTTTTCACTTAAGTCTTCTATTTAGTATCTTACATTTTAGATGATAAAATTAACCATTGATGCAATTTTTTTTTAAAAAAAAGATCACAAGATCATCAGGATGTTCCATAATCACCACCTTTAATATGTATTTTTACAATCCTTATCAAAAATAAAGAAGTAAAAACATTAGGAATTACAAATTATCGCAATATTTAATCACAAATATTTAATCAGAGAAAAAAAAATACTATCAAAATTTAACAAGTTATTACTCAAGAAGGCAACACTGAAAGAAAACAGAGAGGAGTTAAAGGCTATCATTCAAAACACCTCCAAGTTTCACTTAGACATCAAACTAGTTTTTATGTTTTTCATTCCACCTTACTCACTAGAGAATGATATATTTGGATAATGATGTTGATTTTTTATTGCTTAAATATTATTTTGCAAACCCTAATAGTGTACACATTTTGTTTTTGAAACTCTTTTTTAACATCTTCTTTATTGACACTGCAGCCCAGGGTGGGCCTTAGGTTGCTGCACAATATTTCTCCAGACATGACTAGAATCTTCCAATTGAAGATCATTGAAGTTTTTAAATCATTCAAGACATGAACTATCCATCCTTTCTTTGGTCTGCCTATTGCACATGGGCTCCCAATGCAAGGTCTTTACAGTTAGGCCACGGCCGGATTATCCTATAGGCACACTAGGCACGTGCCTAGGGCCTACGAAATTCAGGGGCCTACGAAAAACTTGGGAGAAAAAAATTTATTGACCAAAATAATTTAGCTTTAAAAACAACAAGTGTATTTTGCACAAAATTATGAAGATACAAATAAAAATATAATATTTTTCGGTAATAAATTATTTTGCAGAATCTTATGATCTAATATATTACTTTTTTGCGATTTTTGGATTCAACGAAATCTTGTATTATGCTGTCGAATTCCAAACTACGCAAAATGTCGTATTCAATAGACATAAGTGCGAGCGATGCCAAACGATCTTGATTCATTGTTGAACGCAAATAATTTTTTATCAATTTTAATCTGGAGAAAGATCTTTCTCCTTCTGCATTTGATCCAAGAATCGACAAATATATTCTTAATGCAATGTGAACGTTAGGAAAAGTATTCACAAGTTTATCTTTAATTTGAGCCTTCAACATTTCTTGTGCAGATTTATGTTCATACAAATTTGAAAATAGTAAAAATTCATCTACAAAGTTTTCCTCTAAATCGGATGAGTAAATTTTCACCAAATTTTGCGCTTTTAGTTTAATCTCAGATTCTGACAAATTTTTGTGAACAAGAAAACCGAAATTATCGTACAAATCACTGTAAGCTTTACGCCTTTTAGTCATTTCTGAAATTAATACATCTAAAATGGCGTAATACGTTTCCATACGAAGAAAATTTTAGCATATATTTTGAAAAGAGGGGAGGAGTGGGGGAAGGAGGGGAGGGCCCATAAACGGCTGTGCCTAGGGCCTACGAAAGGTATAATCCGGCTCTGTGCCTAGGGCCTACGAAAGGTATAATCCGGCCCTGAGTTAGGCGATTTCCCAATGTGACCAAGCCATGAAAACCTCTGTGCTTTGAGGAACTTTACAAAGTTTCAATGCTTGATAAGAGCTTCCAGTTCATCATTAGTTCTTATTCTCCAATAACTATAAGTTGAGACACGGTGGCTCAGAGGATAGGACGTTTGCATTCCAACAAGGCGAACCTGGTTTGAATCCCAGCGATGGCTGGTCGATTCCGATTCGCACCAACCGCAGTGCTGACATAAAATATCCTCAGTGGTAGATGGATCATGGGTTAGAGTCCCCTTGCCATCAGGCTAACCGAGGGAGGTTTACATGGTTTTCCTCTTCTTGTAACGCAAATGCGGTTAGTTCCATGAAAAAGTTCTCCCACAAATGCAAATTTCTCCCAATACTTGAACCAGGAGTTCCCTTGTCTTCTGGATTGGGTTCAAAATTACAAGGCTAAGGAATTAAACATTAGTAGTCATAAACACAAAATTGGATCGCCTGATGAATAACAGTTATAAAATAAAATAATTATTAGTTAGATGCATTGGGCCATAAACTTTTCTAAGTATTTTTTGTTAAAAATTAGTAAATTATTTATATCTTTTTGTCTAAGTCTCACAGTCATATGTCACCATGAGACGGATGATTCTTATGTAAATTTTTAGTTGTTTTCAGGATCAATTAATTTTTTTAACAGATGCTGATGTGAAAAATAGCTTTGGTTCCTTTCTGGATTCTACAATTAATTTCTTCTAAAATGATATTTTAAGTGCTTATAATTGAGTCCAGATATGCATTTGTTTTTAACATGGATTGTAAAATTATATAGTTGAAGATCTATATAAAGTAAAAAATATAAGATTGAAACAATTAATGTTAATTCATAAATTTAAAGAAATAATATGTGTCAGAAAAAAAATAAATGCTGTGTAAAATTATAAGGAATAGAAAGGATTTAAGAATTTCATTTCTCTAGACCCAATAAAACTCATTAATAATTTGACAAAGTATATTCCAATTGATAGTAAATACATACTTTTAAGACCATTATCATCAAGGCAGTGTTAGGCAGTTCTGGAATTGGTGGAATACCAACATATTGAAATGTACGAGTGAGCATTAGATGACAGAAACAATACAAGAAGCTTACAATATGGCAACATCTAAAATAATTTTTATAAAATTATCATCTATTCATATAATTAATGTATCACCTAATCATGTTAATTAACTATTCACATATTGTATTTGTACATTTATAAAAAATAAAAACTCTGAAAAGCTATCAGCTTTATTTTCAGTTAGAAAATTTTTTCTCTTTGAAGTAACTAATAATACACAAATAAAAATCTCGAATAAATATTAATAAAAGTTAAACGTTCATTTCAGACTATCCATAAACATTCAGAAAAAAATTTTCGCAAACTTTTCAAAACTTATTTTATCAAATTTTTCTGATTTTTGTAACAAAGAAGAGGTAAATTTCATTATAATCTATCCATTTTTATCTCATCCATGTACTAAATAAAAATATTACAAAACACTTTTACTTGAAATTAAATTTGAAAAAAAAAAAAAAAAAAAANATTTAAAAAAAAAAAAAAAAAAAAAAACAATTTAAACATTTTTTTTGTGAAAATAAATTAAACAGACATATATGAAAGGAATCAGGATGATAGCAGTAAAGAGAATTGAATATGAAAAAGCCTATTGTTTTGTGAAAATGAAAAGTTTCCGTGAACTAATTTTTTAATACTTAAAAAATTACTCCAATGTAGCATTATCTGCTGATGAATATTTGCACGAATTGAGAATCATTCATTGATTTTTTAAAAATTTTTTCAGGTGGAAAAATCTTGCCAAATTAAAAAATATTCTAAAAAAATTAGCAAATATTTCTTTTTATTGATAGGCTATGATTCATCTACAGGAAATTAGTGTAATTCTTTCGATTAAAAAAGGATATTGACTCTCTAATAGACTGGAAAATTTAAATTTTCAGCTAGTAGCGAGTAAACTTACAATATTTTAGTAGCCACTTTTTCCTCAAACCTAATGAGTTTACAATTGACATCAATAGGTCCTTTTCATTTAATAGCAACTTTTTTTGCTTGGATTAAATTATATTTTTTTAAAAATTCACATAAGAAAGAATAATAAAATAAAAAGTTAATTTATCAAAAAAAAATACTAATATAGATGTGAGACAAATTTTAGTTAAACACACTGATTTTAAAGAACTTATTGGGAAGGTAAAATGCATTTAATGTATACTGCCTCGCAATTGAAAAATTGTCGTAAGCAACAAAAAATTAAAAATTAAGATTTTCATAGAATCTTTATATGGTAAGCTACATATTGCAAAAAAATAAATAAACAAAAATTAAATTTTGTTTTTTCAGTTTCCTGAAATTCTATTTTAGCATTCATAATGTTAGCAATAGAAGGAGAAAAGTTGTCAAGTCACTTTTCTCGGAATCAATCGTGAAGCCCTTTGGCTGTTTTTTCAATTGCTCGGCAGTATACATTACAGCTTTGAAATATGAATTGTTAAAGAACTTTCTTCACACGAATTTTTCCATCACAAACTGATTGATTCAGAAAAATGAAAATTTTTAATGGGAACATTGGACATATGAATGTTTTCCAAAGTCTTTCTGCATTGATGTACTATTATCATTAATATTATGATTTAAAAAACAGAATAATGATTCATAAAATAAACGATGGGAAAAAGTGACCAGTTCTTTACTTAATTTAAGTCCCTACTCTTCTTTGTTGACTCACCATATGGTGAATGGTTATTTTCATAAGTACCCTCTAACATTTAGAAAAAGTTTATGTTCCTTCTCCCTTCAATCTATATACAAGCGGTTATTATTTTAGATATCCCTAGTCTATACTAACAAACTTACCTTTTATTTACATATAGAACAATCAAAGCATTAACAACAGTAAGTATCACATGGTGCAATATATGAAATCCTGAGAGAATGAAAAGAAGAATAAAACCTATGATGGTACACAGAAGCTGCTTTGATGGCAAAGTTTTGACTTGACGGAGATAATAACCAAATGATACTGATGATAATAAACAAGAGAAGTAAATCCAATCATCTGTCGTCATTTTCAGGCTTATAAAATTCCTGAGATAAAAAAGAAAATATTAATAATAGATTATCAAATTGAATAAAAAGGCTAAAAATGTAAACATTTAGAAACTGTACTTAGAGGATTATTATAGAGATGTAAAATTCTCGGTGATAATCTTTTGAAGAATATCTTTTATAATATTGTCATCAAGGAACAATTTTTATACAACTGAACAATTAACAACAATTTTGAGAGAATAATTTTGTTTTAAACACAATTAAGTAATAAATGATGATCTCAATATATTGTTTTTAAGTTTTTATTCTTGATGAATTTGAAATGTTTTGTTTTGGGAGCAATAAAAGAAAAGAAAAGAGAAAAAAAAATCAAAAGTGTTTGTACAGCTAAATAAACAGTCAAAGTTAAACAATAAACAGAGTCACAGTTCAAAGAAAATTCTTGAAATAGAAACTACAAATTATCTACATTGAGTATACCGAAATATAATTTGTTAATTTTTTGAGAAGGATAAATTAACTAAACTTCTTATACAAGTATGATTTGCATGCTTGTTTTTTAGATATTATTAATAGATTACAATTAAAGAATAAAATTCTCTAAATATTAGCATCACAAGAATATTCTTTTTATATTAATGACGAAAATATTCAAGGGTGTGTTTAGAAGAAATTTGGGTCCGTTAATGGACCCTTCACAAAATAATTTATCTTTTAATCGGACCCTTCACAGGAGACACTTGAAAGACATTTGCGCATTATTGTAAATGGGCTGGAAATTTTGACTGATGCTGAGTGTTCAGCTATTAATAGATATTTTCAAATCTACTGTAAATCGACATATATTACTCTAATATTTTGTTAATCATGTTTTTCTGCTTTAATTCTAAAGCTAAGTTTGATCTAATTTAATTTATATTATGTACCTTAACCACTTCGAAGTCAAAAAAATTATAAATTCCAAATGTAGTATTCTAAGATTTCTACTTCTACAAACATCAGGTGCACATGCTTGTCGATATTAAATGATATTTTTGTGTAAATAAATAATTGAGTAGGTAATATATTATTCATAAAATTAATTGATAAAATATTATGCAAATAAAAATTAACTTATATCAGTTTTTTAAAAAAATTATTATAAATTTAAGAATTGTTTATTTAATTGTTAAGTTTATTTAATGTGTAACACATTACTAATTAGTGTTATTTAAAATATTTTAATTGAAATTATTAAAAATGTGAGTGATTTTGTTTCCATTATTCATCCGAAATGAATATTCTGTGTTGTGCAGTATAGGCTAAATACCAAATATTTGTATGTTGCATCTCTAATTTAGTAGTAGTAATAATTGTTTCTTTTTGAAAATAAATTTTTTTTTATTATAATTTTACAGTGTTGAGCACAATCTTGTATCCATTCACAATTTAAAAACTCCTTGAAAAGGTTTCTTGCAATAACAGGACCCTATTTGCACAAATTCACAAAACAAGACCCTGGTTGAAAGAATGTGACTTAACACTTATTTTAAGTTCACAAATTACGAGTAATTTTTTCACAATTTTACAAAAACAAGACCTTTTACAAAATGTCCGGACAGACTCCTGATATTCTCATTTCGCATCTCCATACAGATATATATATACATATAAATAAAAGAAGAATAAATAAACAGTAAACACGTTTATGAAAATGTTGTACTGAAGAAAATTATGCTTTTAAAATAGTAGCAAAAATCTACAGAAAATATAGAATAAAAATTTTTATTTTAAACTTAAGTCAATTTTATTATGAACATATTATGATTATAACTCAAATATTCTTCACTGGTCATAAATAATTTAGAGATCTCAGAGGAGAAATACATTAAATGTCATTTTGAAAATGTTATAGCTTGCAAATTTTAGAGTATTATTTCAAATTATGAAGCACATAAATTTATTTTGTCACATCCTTCAGTCTATTATCAATCTTGTAATTTAAATCATTGCTTTAATCAATCTTCTGATTTAATTTAAATCAATCTTTTAAATTAAATCAACATTCAACCAAACTTATTTGTTTTAATAAATTTTTTTAAAAATTATTGAAGTAGATTAGAAGTATGTAGGTAAAAAGATGTTTTGATGAGCTTTTACACATTTTAAATTTCATTTCTTTAGGAAAGACACCTCAACAATAAAAATTATTTTACATTGGCACATATTTAATTTCAAAAATGAAATAGCATAACTTTTTTTTAAACATCAAAGATCTATAATTTTTCACTTCATCTGCATATAATTTCATGTAATAAATTATCTTTTTTACTTATTAATTTCGCTTGAAGTATAAGTTCAAAATTTCAATGAAGTCCCTCAGTTTAATCCAATATTTAATAATATACATTAAAATTATATATTATGCACATAAATTTTAGGAACAGCAGTTAAATTGAATACAATGCACATAAAATGTTTATGAAAATAATAATTAACAGTATAATTATTATTATTCATTTATTTATACTGAAATCATAGACTCATTTCATTATGTAATACTTAAGAAAATAAAAAACAACCAATAACTTACTAGAAAATCGTAACAGGTTTTTTCTTTTTTTTTATAAATAATTTTCTAAACACCATAAACATAATTTTCTATAGCAGAATAAATTTATCATATCGGATAAGAAATCTTTGCTAATGAGCAATTTAATAAGGTTACGTAACTAATGCTTGAAAAAAGAAAGTATGAACACATAGACATTTGTAATTTTATTTATAGAATAAGTAAATTTTCAAATATCAATAAAAATCATAATCAAACGAACAAAACAAATTATAAATAACAAAAAAAAACTTTACAAAATAAATATATTTTCTTACCTACTCTAAAACAATGGACTTAAACAATATTCTTGAAGTACCTACTCCCCATTCTTTTTACTCATTACATAATGATCATCCTAATGAGTTTCATCCTGTGATAATGATTTTCGACCTTTCACAAGAAGAAAAATTGTAAATAAACGTAATTATAAGTAGTGGCCATGATTCACAAACAATGTTTGTTTACTATTTATAAATATATTTTTTTCTTTCTTTTTTTGGTCACATATCTGACCATGCGCGTCAACTAAGACACGCCCTTCACGGGTATCGATATGATGTATAATCGATAAGTGAAATGAAAATGATACTATGAAAAGAACAAAAAGGACTTGAGTAACTTGAGAATTGCGCAATGTTAATATTACGTCTCCTCACCTGATGTCTTGAAAGAGTCTTGCCCCCGTTTTTCACTAGTCTCATTATATAATTTAAAGCGATTTAGCATTCAGAGATGGCGCCAGCGGAACTAGTTTTATTGAAAAACCGAGCCAAGATCAATAGTTTTTATTATTTACTTTTGAAAGTTTTTTTTGTTTATTGAATATTTTTATTTCTGCAATTTTTATAGCTTTCTTTTTAATTATTTTTTATTTTCCTTTATTCATATATTCATTTATTTGTTTTTTATTTATTTTTAATATTTTTTTATTTATTTCTGTTTTTTTTTAAAAAATGGTTAAAATGTAAGATTTGAGAACTAACATTCCTCGCCATTTTTTTAAATTTATTTTTAGCATTAAATTACGTTAGGATGAATTTAAAACAAATATGAAAAACTTTGATAAAGAGAGTAATTAAATATAATTTAGATAATTTTAAAGCAAATGTTAAATGAATTGTAATAATTATTAATTGGAAGAAAAAGATAATTTATTACATGATGAAGTGAAAAAGATGAAGATGCAGATGAAGTGAAAAATTATAGATCTTTGATGTTTAAAGAAAGTTATGCTATTTCATTTTTGAAATTAAATATGGGCCAATGTAAAATAATTTTTATTGTTGAGGTTTCTTTCCTAAAGTCAAATTTAAAGTGTATAAAAGCTCATCAAAGCATCTTTTTAACTACATATTTCAAATCTTCAATTTTTTAGGTTACAAACAAAAAAAAATTTGATTATTTATTTTGAAAAAAAAACATGGGCATAAAGAGTTGGAATTTTTAACGTTCTTCTATTGAAAAATTTGCCACTACAACAGTGCCAATAATATATTTATTATAGATTATTTAATGTTGATTCTTGATGTTTCATGTCTTTTAATATTGTATTACTAACTCATTTTTGCATATGAACTATTCGAAACGGTTTTTTACATACTTTTACACTATGAAAGTGATAAAAAAAGTTTATGTACGAATATTTTATAATGAGCCTGTGCCTAGACACTTATTTCATCAGCCAATAAACCCGTCTCTCTCTTATAAGAGACAAGTGGCATGCTGGGGCATTCAGTCGACAACTAAGTACACTATAATTTTATAACTACTGAAATTAAGGTTGTTAGAGACAGATACTTTGTTCGTTCAAATTATTTTATGAAGAATATAATGTGACTTTCAAACAAATTTATAAATGTAAGTTAGGGTAATTAAAATGTAAATATTCTTAGCATTTAAGAAAAAAAATCAAAAGTATTTTGTTTTAGATTTTAATGTATATACATATACGGTAAGACAAATACCGACCCAAAAAGTTAAAATGGTTCCAATGTTTTCGTTATTTATTTCTATTTGTTGCCATGCTCAGTGGCTTTACATTATTACATTAACCAAACAACGTATTTAGAAGCTCAGCCCATCAAAATAATGATTAACTGTATTCAGTATCATATGACATAATACTGTTGCTCCAGACTCATGATATTTAAAATTTTCTTCAATCATGCTACTTTGTCTACTTATATCTTCGAACAACCGTTAAAAATTTAACATAAAAGTGTACAGCATTGATGCAGCTCTAATCGGCATCAAATTTACTCATAAAATGCTTTGTACCTATATAAGAGTATATTTGATACCTATTGAAACTGTTATCATTATCATTATGATAACTCAGTTATCATTATGCCAGTAATGCTTATTACCAAACTTAAGCATCATTGCTGTCAATTGGCGAATTATTACCGTTCCCCATAACGAATAAGTACACTTTCTTCATTAATTTTGCTTCTTAGTTCAAACAGCATCGTTTTTTTAGCTAGTGCCTATTACCGAAATTAATTAAGCATCATTGACGTCAATAATAGTTGGCCGATATTTTACGCTCTCATAACGAATTAGTATCATTTCTCCATTTACTTTACCTTTTATTTTACTTCAATTAGTAATTTACCAAAATTAATTATTATTGGCGTCAATAATAATATTGTTGTTCTTTTATGTTTATCCTCAACGAATTAGTTCCATTCCTTCATTTATTTTGCTTTTCAGTACAAAACTTTTCTTTTTATTATTTCAATTACCGTTGGTTTTAAATAACTTAGTTTTATAGCAAGACGCTTTAAAAGCATAACTAGAAGCAAAATGAACACGTAGTTTCAGATAATCTTAGGAACTCTAATTTAGAGACGTAGTTCACCTATGCTACAATAATCATATTGATCATTCAGGTAACTTGGCATAACGAAAAAAAAATAAATAAATAAAGTATTATAGAATGCACAATAAACAATTTTTTGATCAGAGCTATAAACTGGCGAATATAGTTATGATCTTATCTTTAAATTATTTGACAAAACTAAATCGTCTACGATTTAATTTAAAACAGTGGCTTTTGCTAGGCCAATGAGAAAATTCCGTTTTTTGAATGTCTCTTTAATAAAAATTCGGGCTTCGTAGTTTGTTTACAATTGTACTTATTCAGCTTAATGTTGAAAATCGTATTTTTAGATTTTGCGTTATATATTCCCAATCTGGTATTGAGACACAAATTCCTTATTTTATTACATATATACATGAATGCAAAATTTGGATTTACATTTTTGAAATCGAGTTTTTTAAACTAAACTATCTTTTTTTGTCCCCTTCTTCTCCATATCTTCCTTTTCTAAAGGGCATATTATGGAGAAGGTTGCCCCGAACATCCTCACACCTATGCACGCCACGGAAAGAGCACCAGCACAATCAACGACGACTAATACACTTTTTCTTTCATTAAACAATGCTTTTATTTTTAATTTTTTTTTTTAACATGCATTAATGTTTTCACTTTTTACTCCCTTTTTCTTTTCACTACTATATTTTACATTACCAACCCTTTATCACTCAAATTAAGCCTGCATTATTTAATGCCAACGAATGCTTGCCTTTAAATAAATCTGATGAAAAAAAAATTTTTTTTTTGAAGGAAATACTTAGAGTCTTCTTCGGAACTGTTAAGGAAAACGATGTTTGGCGGATTCAGTACACTTATGGATTTGACAGAAAATTTAGGCAACCAAACATAATTTCAGTTATTAAATCCTAGAGAATAAGAGAGAGGCTAGGTCTCATGTATGGAAAAGATGATGACCCGATTAAGAAACTGACTTAAGGAAATTTACTGGTAGCCAAAATAGGGTAAGACTGTGTCGTACGTAGCTACCACTATAAATATTAAATACAAATTCCATAGTGTATTAGATAAGTTAACTATACAGCTAAAAAAAATAAAAAAAATCCGGTGAAGTAAATTGAAATCTTCCAGTCAATATACAATAATGATGAAAAAAAAATAATGAGCGAAATAATATAAAAAAAACAAAAATGAAGAAAAAATATAATGTGCAAACTCCATATAATAAATAAATAAAAAAATAGCATAAATTAACTAGTGGAATTCGTTCATCGAATTCTATCACATAAAATTCAGAAAGAGGAGTAATATCCCTTAACTACCACTATAATTATTAAATACCAATTCCATAATATATAAGACATGTTAGTTTGATTCTAATATGAGGTACCTTATGACGAATGAAGATTGACATAGTAGATGATTAAATCCCACTAGACCAGTGGTTTCTGAACTTCTTTGTCTCGCAGACCCCTTGCCATGTTTTTCCGTTTTGGATAGACCCCTGCTTTCCTGATATTGATTTATCAACTTCAAATGCATTTTAGACAGCTGGTATAGCGCTACTCACTGTGAAAGATTTAAATTTCTAACTGTATAGTGAAGGGTATTGTGAAAAAAAAACACATGTTAATTTTATACATTTATTAATTAAATTCAAGCTAATTTAATTAATAGGTAAATGGAATAAAATAATTGCACTATAAAACGCGTACTCCACTACTAATATTATAATTGCGGAAATAAGTTTATATTCAAAACCGTAGTAGTGTATTGTCGGCCTGTTTATAACGTTTCCACGTAAAAACTATGCAACAAATCTCCGTGATCTTGTGCGCAGATAAAGTTGGAAGTCTAGCTAAATAAAGAGTTGACACAGGATAGGTTACAATTTACAGCGGAAAAAAACTTTTTTGTTACAAAATAAAATCTTACACACAGAGAGAATAAAAACGTACGCGGGCAGAGCTGCAGGCAACTGCTAGTTTATAATAATTCAGTTTCATATATCAAAAATAATTCTGATAACTTAAATTTTAATAAAGTTTTTACTTCATAACTACTTTTATAAATTATGTTGGTTAGTTGGTTAGTTAAAGTTTAATGGCACAAGAGCCAGAGGTGGCTATACTGCGCCAGTCACTAGGTAAAAGAGTTGCACTTTTACTTATATTAGTGAATACAGTCCTATTGTTTTGATGAGCTTGATTAGATTGTGATGTATAGGGTCACTAAGAAGGGGTGAAAGATTGGGATAAAATCTGCCGAAAAGTTTCTTCCTCAAATATTTGAATCGTCTGCAGTTAGTTAATATGTGTTTAATTGAAATGTCAACTTGACATAGTGTACAGCTGGGTGCAGGTTCGGCTACCAGTAAATGCATATGCGTAAAACGAGTATGCCCGATACGTAGTCTATTAATTAAAGTCTGGGTTTTACGATCAACAGTTAATGTCTTACAATTATCAAGATTAGGATAAATTTCATGTAATTTATTATTATTTTGTCTATTCCAATGATTTTTCCAGGCTTGATGAACTGAAGATTTACAAATGTGTTTGAGGTCCAAACATGTCAAGAGATTACTGCTTAAGTTTTGAGTAGTTTTAGCTATGATATCAGCACGGTCATTTCCAAGAATGCCGACGTGTGAGGGTATCCAACAAAAATATATGTTGAACCCTCGGACTTGCAATTGCATAAAGTGGTTTTGTATTTTTTGAATTATGGTTTTTTTTTCCAATGTAAGGAACACTAGATATAAAGCTACGAGAATCAGTATAAATTATCCATTTATTTTTAGTTTGGTCTGAA